GACTAGTTTCCAGGGTGGGTGTCGGGGTTGCTGGGTGCCAGGATGCCAGTCTTCATTCCCTGAAAAGAATCTTGTGTGCACTGGTTTGGAATCAAGGATATAGATATACTTTCCACAAGATCTTGCCAAACATGGCTAATTCTTAGACCTAAGATTGAGCTCAAATCCTAGTCAGTATGGCGTCCAAGCGATCCGCGAATCGAGCCGCTCTGATGGAAGAACTTGAAGTCCTTGGGTGTGAGCACCTATGCTTATCGTGCTGGAGTGAATGCCTGCACGATTGGCTATCAGAGCATCTTGCCTTCATGGTTCGTGTAACCTGATGGACTTACTTCTTCAGAGCTGGGTGTTCCAATTTGGCTTGGACAGGTCACCCTAATCTTTGCCAGGTCCCGTTGTGTGATGTGAACTTGAGGAATGATATCAAATCATTGAACTGTATTTGCGCGGATTGCCTATGTGACTACAAGTCCGTTCAAGCTATGTTGGAGTTGGAAAAGGCTAAGAAGCCTTCGAGCCCAAAGGATGGGAGCAGCTTTGGAAATTAGATTGTGACCCCGGCACAGCCCGGGCACCGTGCCTTGAAAACAAGCAGCCTTTTGTTTCAGCCTGCACGCTGTGATTGGAGAGGGTGAGCTTGGAAAGTCCATGGAATACATGTCAGTTGTGATCGATTTCATGGTTTTTGGAATTTTGGAGGACTTTGATCATTTTGTTTGAATCATGGAAAACCAAACGTGTCAATTCGTGTCACCCCGTGTCACCGGCTTGAATTTGGAAATTCCAAGAGGCTACTTCTGGTAACCTCTTAAGCTTAAGAGGTTACCCCTGGGAACCCTTTGTGATATTTCCAAAAACTCCCTGAACGTGTCAAACCGTGTCAAACCGTGTCATTCCGAATCAGAAAAATCAATATTTCATTCCACAATGGTTCATTAAGATTTCTTACAATTCCTCCGATTCCGACAGATCGGGCTTCAGGGTGTAGTCTGACCGTGGATCGGCCGTGGACGGTTGGCCATGGCAAAAACCAAAAGCAATATGCTCAAGGCCACTGGTTGGTGGTTTTGGAAAGTGAAACGTCTCCGGTCTTTTGTCGATTCGTGGCCAGGAAACAGAAAAGATACAAAAAAAAAGGCTACATCACTTACGCAGGCAGAATACCAAAAAGAAGCCCAAAAGGCCGCACAAAAGGCCGCGCAAGCTCAAAGGGAGAAGGATTTGGAAGACCTTCGCCGGCTGTCAGCAGCTTTGGAAAAAAGTCGTGAAGCAAGACGGTCAAGGAAGGAGGTGGCACCGGTGGCTGACGCCAAAGGTACAGGGGTATCAGGCGTGGACCATCGTGGTGACACAACTGAACAAAAGAAAGGGACACCTGATGCTGAGGTGACTCAAATGGCAAAGAAGGGCAAAAGTGAAGGAAACACGGAAGAGGCATCGGGCTCCAAGCAGAAGGAAAAGACCAAGGAGAAGAAGAAGGCAGGTGAGACTGAGGAGAAGCCAGAAGGCAAGAAGGAAGAAGCACGACAAAAGAAGATCAAGGAAAAGAAGGAGGCAGCTGAGATTGAAGAGAAGACAGAAGGCAAAAACAAAAAGGATTCGGGCTCCGAGCAGAAGGAGAAAACCTCGGAAAAGAAGAAGGCAAGTGAGACTGAGGAGAAGCCAGAAGGCAAGAAGGAAGATGCATCTGGCTCCAAGCAGAAGGAGAAGACAACGGAAAAGAAGACGGAAGGTGAGACTCAGGAGAAGAAAGAAGGTGAGAAGGAAAAGGCATCGGGCTCCAAGCAGAAGGAGAAGACAACGGAAAAGAAGAAGGCAGGTGAGACTGAGGAGAAGCCAGAACGCAAGAAGAAAGAGGCATCGGGCTCCAAGCAGAAGGAGAAAACGACTGAAGAAAAGAAGGTAAGTGAGACTGAGGAGAAGACTGAAGGCAAAAAGGAAGAGGCATCGAGCTCCAAGCAGAAGGAGAAGACAACGGAAAAGCAGAAGGAAGGTGAGACTGAGGAGAAGAAAGAAGGCAAGAAGGAAAAGGCATTGGGCTCCAAGCAGAAGGAGAAGACAACGGAAAAGAAGAA